AAATTTAAAATCTAAAGTTTAAAATTTTAAACTTTAAGTTTAAAGTTTAAAATTTAAAATTTAAAATCTAAAATCTAAAATTTATAATTTAAATTTTATAAGTTAAAATTTAAAATTTGTAATTTAAAATTTAAAATTTAAAATTTAAAATTAGGCATATATTAAATTTGAATTTTTAATAAAATATAGTTATATATTTAAATTTTTAAATCTATTAACATAGTAAGTTTAAATATGATTTTTTTGATAATTTTAAAGGGAAAAAATGAACTCATAAAACAGAGATATTTTAAATTTAAATTTTTAATAACTTGAGTAAAATTAAATTCTTTGTAAAAATATTACACAAAAAAAAATTATTGTAAAAAAAAGACTAAACTTGAGAAATACATTGAGTTTATTAATTATGTAAACGTTGTAATTAATTTAATTATAAAAAATTTATTGTTATTATTTAATGGCACATATTATGGTTGTTAAATAAAATTAAAGGAAAGTTTTGAAATTTAACATGAATCATGAAGATATTCTCAATGGTGACTTTTATTTAAAATCCTTCTTATATGCGAAATAAATAATAGAAAATATTAATGGAATAAAAAGAAACCTCAAGCGTGTGGTTCAGTGGTAAGGGTTGAGCTATCGGCGGTGGATACTCTAGGATCGAACAAAAAAAATGGAAGAATTACTTTAGTAGAAGTATAAACCACAAAGTGTTAAATCTTAATTTTATTGCAAAATGTTGATACTCCAAATGCAAACAAAGCATTAAAAACAACCTAAAAACCAAAGTCAAAACTAAATTATTGTTATTTATTAAAAGAAAAAAGGCATTTTAATAGATTGATTTATTCTTATTGAATAATAGCATCCTTATTTAAGGAAACTGTCTCAAACCATTATTTGATACCTATTTCAATGGTTAAGTTATTCAAAGTGAAAGCAATGTCAAAGGGCAAACACCTATCAGTTATTCTAAACTTTATCCAATTAAGGAAAGTCAATTTGACGGTTGAAATGAAACAATTTGCGGGGAAAATGCGATGTGAATATTCCAAACCCAAATATTCATCCAAAACTCCAATAAACCTATAAAAAATTTGAACTATGAGAAAACCTCAACATGGAGAAATTTTTCAGAGTGAACAAAACAACGAAATCTAATATACATATGCGCAAAGACACAAAAATAAAAGAAAACAAAATTATTCCAAATCGCATCTGATCCTTTATAAGTCGCACTATTAACTATGTATGGTTTACGTTTTTAGAGGAAACATTCAAAATGAAAGGAAAACAAAATGAAATGAAACCAATAATGAAGGGGATGTATATAATGGAAAGTATAATAGAGGAAGTGAGAGAGGATATACTATAATGGAGAATAGATTATGCATCGATGTGTAATTGGCTTAACAAAAAGAGAGGAAGCAAGAAAGACGAAATTGTGAGAGTGGGAATAATGAGTGCAATTACTTAAAAAGGTTATTTGGTGAGGAATAAATTTTTTTAAAAATATAGAGATGACAGTTACTTGTATTAAGATGGTGGTTATTAAGGGTAAAAAGGTCATACTAAAAGTGGTGATGATAGACAACCCCGAAGAAACCAAGCCACCAAGGTACAAGTACTCCCTACGCCTTGCAACCAAAGCTGCTCCTGAGAAACATGCGAAGGCCAAGGACGTTCCCACAAATGTACTAAAGATAAGGCTGGAAAAACGAAAGAACAATGTCATAAATTTATCCAAAACTAAGAAAATAACACCAAAGTCAGTAGTCAATTGTCACACATCATTAATTAGAAAGAGAAAATGGTTTAATAATTTAATTCCAAACAAGGGTCACCCGACAAATTGAATTTTTTTTTCCTTCACAAGAATTACAATGAGGACCCCCTCTTATAATCTAGGACCGGCTATGCATAACACCCCAATCTCCTACCGCTACCGCCACATTGAAATTGAATGCATGATAATGATGTGAGTCCTGGGAAAATCCATTCATGACAACACCACACAACACATACCTTGGATCGATTTTAACAGCCAAATCAATCAAGGGTCCAATAGAGGCACCCTGAAAGAGTGAAGAGAGCATCAACAAAGTCACCCTCTTCCTCTGCATGTCATAAGAAAAAGAAAACACGGATGAGTAACAACCACGAAACCAAGAAACCAAACACATGGAAGAAAAACGACACATACCTCTTCAAAAGGAGGCGTGGAGAGTAACCAAAGACTGGTTCCCACACACGCCACCGTCGTAAGAAAACCCCCAATGTTGAAAAGGACATGAAGGTAGGCCCCGACAGCCGCAGCAAGCACAGCGAAAGACAGAGTGAAATAAACCTGAAACCCAAATACAGCCAACATCCAACGATTCTGAAAACCTAATTTTTGAAAACCCTAAGATGGGAGAAATTGAGATTATTGTTAAAGACGAAAGGGGAAAACCTGCTTGAGGTGATTCTGAACGAGGGGGGAAATCTGACGGAAGTTCTTGAGAGTGTCGTAATTCCATCGGTTTCTTGAATCGAAGAAGGAATTGAAGGCGTCCATGGCTTTGGAAATGCGTTTCAATTTTCAACACCGCAATTATATTTAATATTTGAAGGACGGAGCCTGGTTTCGCAGAACCTTCCACTTACACTTACCAACACATTATTTTCTTTTCGTTTAAGTCTTCTATCCTATGGATGCCGTTGCATTTTGGGTATTTTTCTTAAGCCATCATTAGCCCACGTAATGCAACCAATCACAAACAAACACATCACATTAATAATAAATGTTTCATATTTTAAATTAGATTTATATCTTTCAACCAACATTATCATTTTCATATTTTTTTTCAATATTTTATAATCTCTTATCTGTTTAAGTTATTTTTATTTTTCTAAAATATCATTAGTTAAAAAAATTATATTAAAATATAAATTATTTATTATAAATTAAAAATATAATTTATATGATCAAATTAAATATTTGTTACAAATTTTAATCAAAGTATAATAAAAAATATTTATTTATTATAAATTTTAGTTATAATTTTTCCTATGCGTAATTAAAGAGTTTAATAATTATACATTATTAATTTAATAAAAAAATTATTATTGATATAATTTATCTAAGAAAATTATTATAAAAATTAATAAATTATCATGAATAATGGTCTGTGATTAAATTAAAATACAAGTACATAACTAAAATGCTGGTTATGACGAAGAAGTTATAATAATGGGGAAGCAAAAACATAATGGGGACCTGATGGAGTTTAGGTTGAAGCAATGGAGTGATTCTTGCTTCTTGTGACCTTCTCCGAAATTTTAAGACCTTTTCCTTGAGCTTTCCACGGATTGAATGATGGAGGAAGATGAATGGAATGATAGGAGAATCCCTAAGCTAAGGATGGAAGCATCCAAGCTAAAGATCCAAATGAAAGCTCACTTTCAAGCTTAGGAATGGAGGTTTTCCTAAGACTAGGTTTAGTGAGATTTTGGTGACTCTTGGAGAGAATATGGCTGAAGTAAAATTCAGAATTCTCATTCATTCAAAAGTGTTTACAATAGTGAAGGAGTCAAGCATTTAAAGCCACGGATCATAGGAGTCTTTGGAGCCATCACATGTGCACTCAAAAGTGGCGCCAATTTGAATTCAAATTTGAATTTGAATTCAAATTGGACGTCCACTTATCCTAACCCATGTGCAGCCCTTCCTTCTAGATTCTTAATTGCATTTAGAGGTAATTTAGGGTTCATTTGAGTGTACACATGTGCAGCCACCTTTGGCACAAAACATGTGACTCAAATGAAACTCTAATTACTCCTAAATGTAATTAACATTCTATGATTCATGCTTTATTACTTAATCCTTCTAAATTCCTATTCTAATGGCCTAAATACAATGGCCAAGCAAATATAATGGAAAGGAAAAATTACAAGAATGAAAATGAGCCCAATATTGGGTACCAAAAGCCCAAAGGCCCATGAAGCCCAAAACTAGGCCCAATAAGCCTATATCCTAAAAATGCTATCCTAAATGGTCCAAAATACAAGACCTAAAATATAGGAATCCTATACTAACATGATATATACAAGACATAAGAAAATAGCTAAAACAAGATATAGCCCATGAGAAATTCAACTTGGGCCTTCCAAGCCCATCGGGCCCATTGGGCCTTGACTGGCCCAATCCTCCATGTCTAACCCACTCCTCTTGGCTCCTTCAATATGTCACCTCTTGCTTTCCTAGGCATGATTCCATCAATAAACCTAAAGCATTTTATTCTAACGCAAAACTTTGGGCAAGCTTTTGAATGTTTTAACTGAAGGACACATAATCTGACATAATTTCATTCATTTATTTATTCTATATATTTTTATATAAGTTATATGCATTGAAAAAAATATTATATGTATGTTATTTTAAACATTTATAAAAATTATTTTTTTAAAAAAAATTACTCTTAATCTCTATTAAATTACTCTGAACAATTTCATACTTTCTAATAATAATTTTTATAACTTACCCCTTTTAATCACAGTGATGACAATTCCTGTAAAAAAGTAATAGTGATTATGGCTATACTAAGGTTTTTCTACAAAATGAAAAAACGCAAAGCACTGATGTTTTGGGGGGAAAAAAGAGATTATTAATGTGGTAAGTAAAATTAATGGGATATTACTGATAAAAAAGTAATGGGATATTTGAAAAATCTTAAAGTCGAAAGAGAAAATAATGGATTCCGATTCCTTAAGTCTTTGAAAAGGATATTTTTAAAAGAATAATCTTTAATAAATGTTAAATTGTCAATTAATCTTAAGTTTTTTGGATTTATATTAATTAATTATAAGTGACGTACTAAATAGGAACAGGGGAACTATTTATTTTTTGGAACTATCTTTTGACTAAGAACTTGTAGGTTTTTTCTTTAGGCATGGGTGGAAATATAGAAAAGCTAGGACACAGTCCATGATGCTGTCTTGCTCGAAAATAACCACGGAAGACGTATGATTAATATTTATTCTCTGTATTCATAATTATTGTCATTTTTAATAATAATAAGTACTTTTATTTCTAAAATAATTTGATCTCTGCCTCTTTTTATATAGAAAAAGAGACATGCATGTATAGAGACACGAATATGTATGCTGGGTAAATTTCATTTTAAAGAACAATTTATGTTTATAAATAACAACAATAACAAAGGCTAAAAGGTCCTTATTTAATTTTCATTCCTCACTATCAGATTTGTACACTAAACTTCAGATATACATTCTCAGTGATTTCTACTTCCACCTCAGTTACAGTTGAACCAAAGTATCTGTCTCAGCAATGTGAATGAATACCATTCCTCGGCGAAATTCTTGTGCATATATAATATTGTGTACAAACACGCATCCAGGTTAAAATTATTTTAAAACTCATAAAACTATATAAAACCATTAATTTAAAAGAAAGAAGTGACTAGGGAAAAAATGGTAAATAGATAGTCAAACTCTTTGATTTGTCGAGTCTTGAATTAACTTCACCGAATAATGTGTTCAAAAATTGTGTTGATGATGACTTCTTCCCTAAGAAGACTTCTCATATTGCCGTGAGGGATTTTCACCATTCATTCTATTTCACTCCCTCTCAAGTCTCACCCTTTTCATCCTTAAAAAAATAAAGATAATGCAAGAATTTCTCTTATTAGAGAGCTCAAAAGCATGTTAACATTTACTATTGGTATTAAAGTAAACAACCGACTAACTACACAGTAGAAACAGACCCAAGAAGTGAAACACTTTTTAGACAATTGTTTTATGTATTACAAACCAAGCGAGAAGTGTTAACCAAGCTGATTGATAAGAAAATCAATCTCTTCTCTTTTTCTTCTTCTCACTCCTCTCAGCTGAGTTCTTCAACTGAAAAATAATAGTAAAAAATCCCATCAATACAAATTTCCGAGGCAAAGAAAAATAAGGTAGAAAGAATCTTTAAAAGGTTGCTAAACGATCAAACTCACCATAATAACAAGAATCCGGACAAAAACTGCAATCAAATCAGTAAACAAGGTAAGGGCATGCTTTACATAGTCCAGGTCTCCGAAGTGTGCCCTCTCAACTATTTCTTGGGTGTCTACTACAATGTAACCCACGAACACCAAAAGCCCAAAATACAACTGCAACAGTATGAAATAACCCATGTAAGAAATCTTGCACTTTAAGACTCAATACTTTTAAAGCTTCAGACCAACCCAACCTAATTTCACAAAAAGGGAACAACATATAACGGCCACGTACCTCAAACTTAAAGAGAGCAGTTGATCCTCCAAAAATGGAAGAAGCAAAGTGCAACCAGAGGAGGATAGACAACCCCGAAGAAACCAAGCCACCAAGGTACAAGTACTCCCTACGCCTTGCAACCAAAGCTGCTCCTGAGAAACATGCGAAGGCCAAGGACGTTCCCACAAATGTACTAAAGATAAGGCTGGAAAAACGAAAGAACAATGTCATAAATTTATCCAAAACTAAGAAAATAACACCAAAGTCAGTAGTCAATTGTCACACATCATTAATTAGAAAGAGAAAATGGTTTAATAATTTAATTCCAAACAAGGGTCACCCGACAAATTGAATTTTTTTTTCCTTCACAAGAATTACAATGAGGACCCCCTCTTATAATCTAGGACCGGCTATGCATAACACCCCAATCTCCTACCGCTACCGCCACATTGAAATTGAATGCATGATAATGATATGAGTCCTGAATTACTTTAGTAGAAGTATAGGGAACCACAAAGTGTTGAATCTTAATTTTATTGCAAAATGTTGATACTCCGAATGCAACCAAAGCATTAAAAACAACCTAAAAACCAAAGTCAAAACTAAAGTATTGTTATTTATTAAAAGAAAAAAGGCATTTTAATAGATTGATTTATTCTTATTAAATAATAGCATCCTCGTTTAAGGAAACTGTCTCAAACCATTATTTGATATTTATTTCAATGGTTACTTTATTCAAAGTGAAAGCAATGTCAAAGGGCAAATACCTATCAGTTATTCTAAACTTTATCCAATTGAGGGAAGTCAATTTGACGGTTGAAATGAAACAATTTGCGGGGAAAATGCGATGTGAATATTCCAAACCCAAATATTCATCCAAAACTCCAATAAACCTATAAAAATTTTGAACTATGAGAAAACCTCAACATGGAGAAATTTCTCATAGTGAACAAAACAACGAAATCTAATATACATATGGGCAAAGGCACAAAAACAAAAGAAAATAAAATTATTCCAAATCGCATCTGAACCTTTATAAGTCGCACTATTAACTATGTATGGTTTACGTTTTTAGAGGAAACATTCAAAATGAAAGGAAAACAAAATGAAATGAAACTAAGAATGAAGGGGATGTATATAATGGAAAGTATAATAGAAGAAGTGAGAGAGGATATACTATAATGGAGAATAGATTATGCATTGATGTGTAGTTGGCTTAACAAAAAGAGAGGAAACAAGAAAGACGAAATTGTGAGAGTGGGAAAAATGAGTGCAATTACTTAAAAAGGTTATTTGGTGAGGAATAAAAAATTTAAAAAATATAGAGATGACAGTTAATTGTATTAAGATGGTGGTTATTAAAGGTAAAAAGGTCATACTAAAAGTAGTGACCAAATGGTGGTTATGAATATTTGTATTCCTTTTATATAATGTTATAGATTTAAATTATTTTATTAAAAAATTTCATTCGTCTATTTTGTTTTTAATTAAGCTCTATAATTACACAAATTTTCCATTTTTTCTGTAAAATTATATATGATAGAGATTTAAAGAAAACAAAAAGATATCTTAAAATAAATAAATGTTAATATAAGGACTAAAAAATAAAATTTATAAAATTATAGTAACCGATAAATAATTAAAAAAAACTATAAAGACTACATGTATCTATACCTATATATTTATATAATGTAAAATTGGATTTCCCTTGAGTTAAAGTTGAAATTACCATATTCATCCAACACTAGTTCTTCAATTGAGATTCATGAATACACAGACTTATAATCTTATATAGTTCAATTTGTGCATTTTTTAATTAAGGAAGATATGCTAATAGTTGGATTTTGCACAAACTTTTGTTTAGACTTCTTTTGATAAGTCCTCTCACTTCTTTACTTATTTGCTTGTGGTGGGTATAACTATTTTTTGAGAATCAGACCGAATCAAAATAAGTGGTCAAATCAAAAGAACTGTGAACCATAAGTGTTTGGTTAGTATGTCAACAAAAAAGTTTGATTAAAGAATTGAAAAATATACTAAAATGTAAGAAAAAAGGATTTGTAGTGGGTCAATAAAAAATTCTTAATACAATTCATTTTATCCTTTTTCTTAAAAAAAATAAAAAATCAATCTAAAATATTTTTTCTTTTATTATTTTAAATTAAAAATATTCATTATATATTTTCATTTTAATTTTAATCGAATTATATATATTTTTTCATGTTAACTTTTATTTTTACGATAAATATAATTAAAAATTATCAATTATTAAAACGTAAATACAAAGATTAATATAATAGTATTTTAACCTGCTAAATTTTATAATAAATTATGTATATAAATAAATAATATATTTTAATATATAAATTATATTTAAAATTTTGATAAAAAATATTTTTACATATATAAATTATATTTTAACTTTATGATAAACAGTTTTTATCGTAGAAAAAATTATTTAATGATAACTTATTTTAAAAATACCAAAACTTAATTCATAAATAAAAAATAAAGTAAATACGTAATCAAAAGAATCCTTTTAATTTATAGAAGTCGAGAAAAAAAATATTCAATTTTATGTGTACTTCATACACAAATATTAGATCTTCATTCTTATTATATTTACATTTTTATTTATAAATTTATCGGCATTGCATTACTAGTATTATTAGTAGGGGAAAAATAGCTATAATAATTTTCAAATATATCTATAAATTTTGAAAACAAAACTCTCAATTTTATTATATTTTATATATCAATACATATTAAAAAGAAAAGTTAAATTTTATTTACAAACACGCATTTATAAAATAAAATAAAAATTAATAATTATAAATTATTAATATTAAAAAAATTATCCATCAAAATTATAATAATAACATCAAAATTTAAATATATAAATATATTGATGATAAAAAATTGTTATTGATATCACATGAATATTTTCATGCACCATTTTAAATTTCTTCTATATTAATATAAATTTATTTTATAATATTTTATTCATATTTATAAATATTAAATAAAGTAATTTTTTAGTTTAAAAATAAAAAAAATCTTTTTTTTCCGATAGTGTAACCTTTTTTTTTCTTCTGAAAATAGTCCAACAGAGTAACATGAAAATAAAGGAGATTGAGGGGTAACTTTGCAATTTGCAGTTCTTCACTCTTCAAAACCCTAATCTCGCTTAGGTATAAAACCGAAAGAAACGGTGTCTACTTCTTCCACTTTGCAGTTTTGAACGCCGACGCTTCATACAATCTCCGAGAGGACCGAAACCCTTCGTCGCATTGCAACTATGGTAGGTTGATCGTAAAGTCATTCTCATACAATTTTTTTTTTCCTTTTCACTGAAACCCTTGATTTTTCGATTCAATGATGTGTTTGGGAATGGCAATTCTGATAGGGTTTTGTGTGTTGTTGTTGTTCAGTCAAAGAGAAAGGTTAGAGAGCCAAAGGAGGAGAACGTGACTCTGGGTCCAGCTGTTAGAGATGGTGAACATGTCTTTGGCGTTGCTCGCATCTTTGCATCCTTCAACGACACATTCATTGTCAGTGTTTGTGCTTTTTTGATTTCTTAGTTTCAATTATCAATTGCTCAAGTTTGATTCTTAATTTTTATGATTGCAGCATGTCACTGATTTGTCTGGGAGGGAAACACTTGTCCGCATCACTGGTATGACTGCTTCTCTTCACATTATAGGATCTAATCAAAATGTTAGGTTATTGTTTATCTGCTATCATTTTTCCAGTTTTAAGAAATTTGAATTTCATGTAATGTTGATATTGAAATAGACTCTATCTTGTTTCAGACTTTCAGTGGATTTTACTGGGTTAATATCGAATGCAATTTTTTTTAAATTGCCTGTCAACTTTTCTTGGTAATTTATATATGTTCTGTGTGAGATTCTTCTTATGTTGGCACTTAGGTATCTTCATACCCCATGATGGAGGGAGTTAAGTGATTTGGCTTGACCTTTTGTTAAATTTTGTTTTGCTTAATTTTGATGATTTCTGAGTTGTTCTATTCACTGAACCTGGGATCCATTTGTCTATCATCAAGCTAACATTCTTTGCCATTGAATGGTTTTTTGTCGACCTTTTCCATTTTAGTAGTTATATATAAAAACCTCTATGATATCTTGATTTCCTTATGTCTTTGTTTTTAACTTCAGGTGGAATGAAGGTTAAAGCTGATAGAGATGAATCGTCTCCATATGCTGCTATGCTTGCAGCACAGGATGTTGCTGCCAGATGCAAGGTCAGTGGTCCTGTTCAATTTGTTAACTTTCCTGTTTAGCATGCTGCTTTCGTTTTATGAGTTTAATAGAATTAAAATTTGATTATTTGTTCAAGTCATGCCTCGTGAAATTACTTTTTATGATGTTATTTTCTGAGAAGCTATAAAGCTTAATGCACTGTTTCAAATGATTTTGGAGCAGGAACTGGGCATAACTGCACTTCATATCAAGCTCCGTGCCACTGGTGGAAACAAGACAAAAACACCTGGTCCTGGTGCCCAATCAGCTCTTCGAGCCCTTGCTCGTTCAGGAATGAAAATTGGTCGTATAGGTATTTTTTGCCCCTTACTCAAATGTCTTGTGGCTTTCCTATTTTTATGTTGTTTATATATTTCTAATTTCTAATAGTTTGTGCCTACTGGTTTTGATGCATTGGTTTCATTCTCTGCTTGTATTTTCCGAAGTTTTTTTCTGATTTGATTGATGTTGTATGGCATTTATTGTTAATGTTAATTAGCGTTTCTCCTTTTCTCAGAGGACGTGACTCCCATTCCTTCGGACAGCACTCGTAGAAAGAGTGGTAGGAGGGGTAGAAGGCTTTAAACTTCTTATGGTATATGTCTGGACTTGCAATATTTTACTGCCTTTCTTGCCAAACAGAATTGTGGCCTTTTGAAATTTTGCTGAAGTTAATATCAGAACTTCTATTTTATTCTTGAGGTTTTGAACACAATTTTAGTTGAGTACATTTAAACATTATTCAGTGTTTTGACCGTTCTGCATTTCTTGTCTAGGTTTGATTTAATTGTTTTTCATAGTCTGGTCCTCACTCGACTTTTATCTACTTTGAAACGTGGAATTAAGACTTGATTGGGAATCAAGTCGTTGTTCGTCAATGAATTATACTTTATGACAATGTTTACCCTGCAAATAATTTATATCAATAACTTCTACAAATAAACAACAGCTTATAAAATGAATTAATTGATAATTACATTATCTTTTTTTAAGTTTCATTAATTATGAACCTTATCTTTTAGTATTTAAGGTAAACACGTTCGATTGTAATCTTTATACGTATCTTTTTTTCTTAATTTTGGTCCTAAAGATGATGAAACTAGACAAAAAAAAAGTAACTTTAACATGAAATTAGAAAGGAAAAAAAAGGTAATTAAATCTCTTATAAAATCGATGACACATCATGGATTCGAATAGTTAGTCTCTTATGTTTCTATTGTTTCTTGTCTTAATTAAAAAAATTACCCCCTTGCTTTGTTATGTTTTAATTGAAAATTCAGTACATTGGTGGTAAATAAATCTTGGTCATTTAAATGGTAAACAACTTATGAGCCATCACTATTTTTGACAAGAGATTTTTTAGAGTCAATGGACATGATTGCTGTGCCAAGAATTTTTTTTCTTTTATTTGAAATGTTTGTGTCGTTATTATTCTGCTCATTATTCTCTTGGTCTTTCTCCTTTTCATTGAACTAAAAATTATGCAATTTATTCTTCGCATTAGGTGGCTTTCTGTATAAGTGTTACTAATTTTTTGTTATCATCTTAATTGGCGTGTTCTTTTTATAAAATTTAAACTTAAAATGTTATCTTATTATAAAATGATAATTTATCGTAATCTAAATTACTGGGTGGTCATTAATAAGGATGGATGATTTTTAATGGGAAATTTACAAAAAGATTAAATAAATAATCTATAAGAAAATAATTATAAGAGCAAAATTGAACAAAGAATGTGTACACTAAATGAGTTTTATATTATTATTTAATCAAATGTTATTATATATGATTTTGTTAAATGTTATCATAATTATCTTAAGACTTAAACTTACTGTTATTTATGATTAGATGTTGTGTATAGTTCTTTACACCAGCATTGTATAGAAATCAAATTGTTAAAAAAATCACATAATTTATTTTATGTTAATGATATAATTTTTTTAATATTTTATTTATCATAATAATACAAATTAAAGTTAAAATCAATTCAAATTATGCATTTCATTTAATTTTTTTTACTACAATTAAAAATAATAGATGATACAAAAAATTTTAAATTATTATTTATCTATTTAGGGTTTAGTATATATATATATATATATATATATATATATATATA